GGCTCTCCCAGATCACTCCGGGACATCCCAGTTCACTCCAGGGTGTCCCAGTTCACTCTGGGTTGTTCTGGATCGCTCCAGGGTGTCCCAGAACATTCCAGATCACTCAAGGGCATCCCAGATCTCTCCGGGCTCTCCCAGATCACTCCAGGACATCCCAGTTCACTCCAGGGTGTCCCAGTTCACTCTGGGCTCTCCCAGATCACTCCAGGACATCCCAGTTCGCTCTGGGCTCTCCCAGATCACTCCAAGATGTCCCAGCTCATCCCAGATCTCTCCAGGCTCTCCCAGATCACTCCAGGACATCCCAGATCACTCCAGGACATCCCAGATATCTCCAAGCTCTCCCAGATCACTCCAGGGTGTCCCAGTTCACTCCAGGACATCCCAGTTTGCTCTGGGCTCTCCCAGATCTCTCCAGGACATCCCAGTTCACTCTGGGCTCTCCCAGTTCACTCCGGGACATCCCAGTTCACTCCGGGACATCCCAGTTCACTCTGGGCTCTCCCAGATCTCTCCAGGTTCTCCCAGTTCGCTCCAGGACATCCCAGATCTCTCCAGGCTCTCCCACCTGTCTCCAGAGCATCCCAGCTCATCCCATCCATCCCAGCTCATCCCATCTCTCTCCAGAGCGTCCGGGGCCATCCCGTTTTTTCCCCCCCTTCCCCATCCCTAGAGCTGCCCGTGCCGGGCCTCGTATCGGGCGAGGATGGCTCGGAACCTCTGGAGCTCCCGTCGCGCCGCCGCCACCTCGAGCCGCAGCGCCGCGTTCTCGCGCTCCAGGAAAGCCGCCCGCACCGAGATCTGGTTCTCCTTCAGCCGCCGAGCGTCGCGGGAGCGCTTGGCCGCCGCGTTGTTGCGGGAGCGGCGGCTCCAGTACTTCTCGTCCTGGGAGAGGGGGGACAGACGGACAGATATCTCAGGGACAGACAGACTGACAGCTCAGGGACAGCCCCGGGATTTGGGGTGTTGTTACGGAAGCGGCGGCTCCAGGACTTCTCGTCCTGGGAGAGGGGGACAAACGGACAGGTCAGGGACAGACAGAGAGCTCGGGGACAGACGGACACCTCAGGGACACAGGGGACACCTCAGGGACAGACAGACAGGTCAGGGACACAGGGACGGCTCAGGGACAGACGGACACAGCTCAGGGACACAGGGATGGACACACAGACACCTCAGGGACGCACGGACAGCTCAGGGACACAGAGACCCCCCCAGGGAGCCCCTGGGATCCCCCTGGATCCCCCCTATTCCTGCCCCCTCCCCCCCAAGACTTTAGGGATTCCCTCCCTGCCCCCTCCCCCCTAATTTTTGGGGTGTCCCCCCCTAATTTTTTTACCCCCTTCCCATAATTTTTGGGGTGCCCCCCCCATAATTTTTGGGGTGTCCCCCCTCAATTTTTGGGGTGTCCCCCCATAATTTTTGGGGTGTCCCCTCCTAATTTTTTTGCCCCCCCAACATAATTTTTGGGGTGTCCCTCCCCCTAATTTTTGGGGTGCCCCCCCCAATTTTTTTACCCCCTTCCCATACTTTTTAGGGTTCCTCCCCTCATTTTCGGGGTGTCCCCTCCCCCTAATTTTTGGGGTGCCCCTCCCCCTAATTTTTTTGCCCCTCCCCTCAATTTTTGGGATGCCCCACCCATAATTTTTGGGGTGCCCCCCCTCAATTTTTGGTGCCCCCCCCCTCGCACCTTCTGCTCCTCGGGCACATGAACCTTCCTGGCCTTCCTGGCGATGGGTTGGGGTCTCAGCTCGTCCTGGGAGAATCGGAGCCGCCGCGGGTCGAAGGGGCCCCCCCCGGGCCCCCCCCCACCCCCAGGACCCCCCTCGAGCTCCGCCTCCAGCAGCGGGGGGGGGGGTTGGGGGGGCGACGAGGGGGGAGGGGCCCGGGGGGGGCCGGGGGCTGCGGGGGGAAGGGGGAGGGGGGGGTTAGAGCGGGGGGGGG